GTGCCCAGGCATTCTGCCAGGGCTCCGTCAGAGCACAGGCTCCGAGGAAGCCTCTGGCGCTGTGTAGGGTTTAGGGTTTAGGGTTTAGGGTTTAGAGTTTAGGGTTTAGGGTTTAGGGTTTAGGGTGTAGGGTGTAGGGTGTAGGGTGTAGGTTGTAGGGTTTAGGGCTTTTTCAGGGTTTAGAGGGTTAATACGACTTTTATAGGGCTTTCTCAGGGATTATGGGCTCTATCGGGTTTAGAAGTGTTATAGGGTTTTTCAGGAGGTGGTTTGGGGCTTTAGGTTGTTTTTTAGGGCTTTTCGGGCTGTAGGGTACTTGGGGTTTTTGGGGGTTTAGGTTTTGAGGGTTTCGGGTGAGGGTGACAGGTGAGGGTCTTGGGGTTTAGGAATGTTGGGGCTTCAGAGGGCTTGGGTTTAAGGTTGAGGGTTTAGGGTTGAGGGTTGAGGGTTTAGGGTTGAGGGTTGAGGGTTTAGGGAGGGGGGGAGGAAGTGTAAGGTTTCCGAGTAGCGTGACAACACTTGGCTGCCCAGCAACCACGTGACCGTAAGGCCCTTAGCTTTTGAGGGGTTTAGTAAGGCTGAGGGTTTGGGATTTTGGGTTTCCTTCTTTGGTGTTAGTTGGCCTTTATGCTGTTCATAATTACACAATCCAATTACGACTACATTAATAACAAAAGAACTAAATATGAAGGAGCCGTAAACCCTAAACCCTAACTCAAAACGGGCAACAGGGACCGGGCTACCAAGAACATAAAGGGGTTCGGTTATGTACTTCCTGCCGCTGGCGCGGTGAAACGTCCAAAACCCTATATCCTTAAAAACTACATCCTAAACCCTAAACCCTAAACCCTAAACCCTAAACCCTAAACCCTAAACCCTAAACCCTAAACCCTAAACCCTAAACCCTAAACCCTAAACCCTAAACCCTAAACCCTAAACCCTCTCAGCGCCAAGCCATCCAGCATCAGCGAGGAGAGGCCGGGGCCCGAGGTCCTTGCCTCCCGAACTCGCCGGCTTGCTGAGACATGGGGTTTAGGGTTTAGGGTTTAGGGTTTAGGGTTTAGGGTTTAGGGTTTAGGGTTTTAGGGTTTTAGGGTTTTAGGGTTTAGGGTTTTAGGGTTTTAGGGTTTTAGGGTTTTAGGGTTTTAGGGTTTTAGGGTTTTAGGGTTGTAGGGTTTTAGGGTTTTAGGGTTTTAGGGTTTTAGGGTTTTAGGGTTTTAGGGTTTTAGGGTTTTAGGGTTTGGAGTCTAGGGTTTGGGGGTTGAGGTTGTCTTGAGTAGGTTTGAGTTTGGGGATTTGCTCTATGGGCTTTTGGGGATAATGCTTCAGGGTCTAGGGCTTAGGGCTCCTTCGACATTGCCGAGCCAGAAAACCAGGACCCTAACTCAGGCAAAAGCCCTAAAACCCTAGAACCCCCAACCTTACATCCCCCGAAGCCCTAAGCTTTTAGGGCCTAATGAGGGATTAAGGCTAAACCCTGAAACCCCCACAGCCCTACAATCCCCAAAAGCCCACCCTAAACCCTAAACCCTAACCACTATAAACCCTATAAACCCTATAAATCCTATAAACCCCATAAACCCTATAAACCCTAAACCCTAAACCCTAAACTCTAAACCCCCGAAAGCCCCAAGAACACAGCCCGGCGTAGGGCGCGCGGGGAGAGCCTTTTTGGTCCACGGATCCGGACGATGTGCGCTCCGTAGCGGCCCCGAGCTGCTGATGCGGCACAGAGCAGTAGGGTTTAGGGTTTAGGGTTTAGGGATTGGGGTTTAGGGTTTAGGGATTGGGGTTTAGGGGTTTACGGATTACGGGTTTAGGGGGTTTTGGGGCCTCGAGGAGCTTGGGGTGTTAGAGGGTTAGGGTGCTTACTGGGGCTTTTAAGGGCTTAGAGCTTCAGGTACTTGAGGATTTTAAGGCTTGGGTTTAGAGTTTGTGGGTGTTAGGTGGCTAGTAGGAGTTGGGGTTGTTAGAGTGTTAGGTGTTTAGGAGTTTTGGGAATGTGGGTTTTAGGGCCCTGACTAGGGGTTTAAGCTTAAGGCTTTAGGGCTTTGGCCTGGCTAGAACAAGGGTTTATATTTCTTGTATCCCCAAAAGGACACTCAATATATGCACGCACCAATATTAAGAGAAAACCCTATATACACTCACGAATATGCCCTGCTTTTGTAATTGGTGGCTTCTGGGGTTAGGTTGTAGGGCTCTGAGGTCCGAGTTTAGGGCGACGCCTCCACGAAACAAAGGGCTTAGAGCTTAGGGCTGTGAAGGTTTGCCATTCAGGGTTTGGGAGTTAGGGTTGCGGCTACTTAGTATATGGCGGTTTGCCATATTAAGGGACCCCAAGAGTAGGACCCCCAAATAGTAGGATCCCGTTGTAAGGACCCCAAAAACGGTACCCTAATATCGTTAACCCCCCCATATATGAGTGCATGAAAGACAAGCATGCCGCTTAATCACAGATGCTGTCATTTTTGGTGAAGCCGGTCCTTTCCCGCCACCCACAAACCCTACAAAACCCTAAACCCTAAGCCCTAAACCCTGACCCCAGAACCACAAACCATAAACCCTAAACCCCTAAGCCGAAACCCCAAACCCCAAACTCCAAACCCTAAAACCAAAACCCTAAACCTTATCCGGTATGCTTTGGCGCAGCTCGGGTCCCTCAGGGCCCGACCCCAGCTTCGCCTACCGCGACACATTTGGCCCCTTTATGCAAGCTCGAAGTTCGCATTTAGGGTTTAGGGTTTAGGGTTTAGGGTTTAGGGTTTAGGGTTTGGGGTTATAGGGTTTAGGGTTCACGGTTTTGAAGTCTTGAAGGTTTAGGGAGGCTTAGGGTAGAAAGGGCTTAGGGCTTTTGAAGTCTTGAAGGCTTAAGGTTAAGGGCTTGGGGGCTTTGAAGTCTTGAAGGTTAGGGCTTCGGGTGAAAAGGGCTCAGGGCCTTAAAGCTTTGAGGGTTTAGGGTTTAGGGTCGAAAGGGCTTAGGGATTAGAACTTTGCAGGCTTTAAGGGCTCAGCCCCCCTTCGTAGCATCTCAAGCTGCACATATCGCGGGCCATGGCTTAGGGTGCCGAGTGTAGTTTCTCCACCCCAAACCCTAAACCCTAATCCCTAAACCCTAAACCGTTGGCGGCTTTGAGGCTAAACGCTTCTTGAGGGCGTTGCAAGCTTGCTTCATTGGCCAAAGGCCGTGGCAACGGATGTGCTTAAGAGCTACAGCCGACAGCCCGGTTTCGGGTTGTCCCTGAACCCCATGATCCCAGCACAGGGTTTGGGTTTTAGGGTTTCGGGTTTAGGGGTTAGGGTTAGGTTTAGGGTTTAGGGTTTAGAATTTAGGGTTTAGGGTTTAGGGTTTGGGGTTTAGGGGTTAGGGTTTAGGGTTTAGGGGTTAGGGTTTAGGGTTTAGGGTTTAGGGTTTAGGGTTTGGAGGTCAGGGGATCGACTGCAGCTCCTCCTATGAGGAAACTCCAGAGAGCGACGTGGCGCAGTGTACTTGGAAGTTCAGGGCACTCAGAACCCAAGAGGGTTTAGGGTTTAGGGTTTAGGGTTTAGGGTTTAGGATTCAGGGTTTAGGGTTTAGGGTTTAGGGTGTAGGGTGTAGGGTGTAGGGCAACATTACAAGTGTAGATACCACCCACCCATAAGCCCCTTAAGTGCCCGAAGAGGGCTATCGTTGGGACATCAGTACAGTTCTTCCTGGGTTACGAAGTACCATGAACCTTATGGTAGAGCTATGGGAGCCGCAAAACCGCCATGTGCAACCCAGGGGGTAACCCAAAGGGCACCATCAAACCCGAAAACCGAAAAGCCTACAAACCTACATCCCGAAACCCCAAATTCAGCCCCTGAACCCCTAGCCCCTAGGCCAAAAAAAGGGTAAAAGGGTAACCCCTAGGCCAAAAAAGGGTAAAATGGTACCACTGGGCTACCAAGGCTTTAGGGTCTGGAGTTTAGCAAATGGCGTTGCCCTTCAGATATGGGGCAGGGAGGGGGGGGGGGGGGGGGGGATGATTTAAGAATAGTTTGAGGATGAGAGAAGAATTGTTTGGGGTTTCGGGTTTAGGGTTGACAGCCATCGGTTTACTCAACGGCAAGTCTGAGAACCCAGAAGATTAAGCACCTAAACCCGAAGACTTTGTCTGGCTCAGGGCTTTCGCCTTGCCACGCCGCTCTTGTGGACCCTCCCCCATTTTTCAGGAGTTGGCCCAAATCACTGGCCCTTGCAACGTGTCCTTGGAACTGCTGCTGATGTATTTGTCTCAACCTAACCCATAAAAACCCTAACCCAAACCTAAACCCTGAAGCCTGAACCCTGATCCCTACACCTTAAACCCTAAGTCCCAAGCAAAAGCCGCGTAATTCGGATCAGCTTCCGCTCGGGCTGCGCTTCTCAAAAAGCGATTTCTACGAAGTGGTCTCGCGACCAGCATAGCTTGCGGCGGCTGGCTGGCAAGGGTTTATAGGGTTTAGGGTTTCGGGTTTAGGGTTTGGGGTTGAGGGCTCATCTTGTTGGGAGGGGGGTTAAGGTTCGTTTTGGGGCTTTTGGGCAGACATGAAGGTGCCATACTAGAGATGCATGGTACATGAAACCATTCCCTTCCCCTAAACCCGAAACCCGAAAACCTAAACCCTAAACCCTGCGTCCTAAGCCCCGGATGCCTCAATCCTTCTCGAGGGTCTCAATGCGATATTGCGCCGGAGCTCATGACTTACCCCCCCCCCCCCCCTTTACTCTAGGGTTTAGAGGTTAGGGTGTAGGGCTTTGATGTTCATGAGCAACTATGACCTGGGGATATAAGCAGGGTAACTTTAAAGGTTGTAGCTGGCGATCGCCATTTTTTGGGAGCCTGTGTATCCGTACTTGTCGCCGCACGCAGACAAACCCTCAACCCTAAACCCTAAACCCCAAACCCCAAACCCTAAACCCTAAACCCTAAACCCTAAACCTTAGACCCCAACCCTAAACCCCGAACACTACATGTAGGCATCACTGAAGATCGGCATCATGAGCCGACACCTGAGCCGGAGGGGCCGATAGACACGAAAGAATCCCTCAGAGGGTTTAGGGTTTAGGGTTTAGGGTTTAGGGTTTAGGGTTTAGGGTAAGGGACTGTTGCAGGGTGAATGGTTTAGCGGGTTTGATGGGTTTAGGGGCCTTTCGGGGCTTACTTCGGGGGTCTAGCGGCTGAGAGGGCTTAGGGGCCTGAGGGGGCTGCTTAGGGGGAGTTGTGGAGGCCTTCCCGAGGTTCCCGGCAATTTTGATATTCTTTAGCGGCAGCTTTGTTTCTTGTACTGCTTTTTTTGGTCTGGGAGGGGGGGGGGGGGGGGGGGGGGGGGGGGGGGGGGGGGGGGGGGGTTGGGCTCAGGGCATAGCAGTCTTTGTGGGGAATAGGGCTTCGGGTATGGGGTTTGTGGTTTACAAGAGTCGCTGTGTCTTAAGCTTAGCTTTCTGCTCTGTCGATAGCCTCAGGGTATATCAACTTCAAACTTGCAACCTTAAGCCTAGGGCTCCAAGTAAACAATAAATAGTACCTACATTGGGGTCTAAAGTCTATAAATAATAACCCTAAACCCTAAACCCTAAACCCTAAACCCTAAACCCTAAACCCTAAACCCTAAACTACTTTGGGCTATTTTGGAGCCTTAGGGTAAGCCCACAAAAAGCAGCTCAAGGGAACCGAGGGGCCAAGGCTGACTGGGCGGTGAAGCAAGTCTCTGACCGCCATCGCAGTCCTGGACGCTCGGTAGACATGCGGTTTAGGGTTTAGGGTTTAGGGTTTAGGGTTTAGGGTTTAGGGTTTAGGGAACCAGTGCATATGGAGAAAAAAGATCGACGGGAAATCCGGGACCTGTAGCTGCCTTGAAGCCTCCAAGACATCTGGTTTTGGGGCCCCCGCAACTTTAGGTTGTTGATGCCGACAACCACAGTTCTTGTTCATATTAGTAGCAGGACTAGTAGCAGTAACAATAGTAAAATGAAGGGCTAGGAGGAAGAAGAAAAGAAGCAGTAGTAGCAGCAGCAACAGTGGTGCTATTTTTATTTATCAGGTGATGATTCTTAGTTTTAGTATTCGTAGTGGTATCCTTGTCAGGATTACCCGAAGGATCCATGTACCTAGATAGCAAATACTCGGGGCCTAAAGCTACTACATAGGAAGCAAGCATGTACTGTATCATTATGGAGGTTAACGAGAGCAAGGGACGCCTAATATCGTCCCAAATAGTAGGATCCCTTATGATAAGGACCCCAATAAGGTACCCCGAGTTTCGGAAACCCCCATATGGTGTTAACCCTGAACCCTAAACCCTAACCCTAAACCCTAAACCCTAATCCTAAACCCTAAACCCTAAACCCTAAACCCCAAACCCGAAACCCGAAACCCGAAACATGGATCCTTAGGGCTATTTTCCTCTGGGAAGGAAGCTTAGAGAGCCGGTCCCGGCGAGGCCAGCCACAGCACCCAAAGCCGCAGCAGCCCAGCAAAGCCCAAGCTTCACCTCCCGCAGGGTTTAGGGTTTGGGGTTTGGGGTTTGAGGTTTGGGGTTTAGGGTTTAGGGTTTGGGGTTTGGGGATTAGAGTTTAGGGTTGAGGGTTTGGGGTTTGGGGTTTGGGGATTAGAGTTTAGGGGTTGAGGGTTTTGGGGGTTTTGGGTTTTGGGTTTCGGGGCTTAGGAATATGAGGGTCCGCGGACAAATAAATCGGTACCCGCAATATGAACCCTAAACCTTAAGCCCTCAACCCCAGATAAGGGAAACCACCATGTGGGAGAGAGTGGGTTTAGATCGACGTCCCACTCTGTTTCTCCTGAAGGCTTTTAGGGCTTTAGGAGTTAGGGCTAGGGTTTCAGGGCTTTGGGGTTTGAGGCTTTGGAGACTTTTCGTGCTTTAGGGTTTATGCACCTAGGGCCTTTTGGCTTTTGGCTTTAGGGTTTAGGGTTTAGGGTGTAGGGTTTAGGGTTTAGGGTTTAGGGTTTAGGGTTTAGGGTTTAGGGTTTAGGGTTTAGGGTTTAGGGTTTAGGGTTTAGGGTTTAGGGTTTAGGGTTTAGGGTTTAGGGTTTAGGGTTTAGGGTTTAGGGTTTAGGGTTTTAGGGTATTAGGGTTTAGGGTTTAGGGTTTAGGGTTTAGGGTTTAGGGTTTAGGGTTTAGGGTTTAGGGTTTAGGGTTTAGGGTTTAGGGTTTAGGGTTTAGGGTTTAGGGTTTAGGGTTTAGGGTTTGTGCGGTGCTTAGGGGTCTCAACCAAAAGCGCACATCGGCCCGAAAGACCTTGAAGGCTGTTGTCCGTGCTGATGGCACGAGACTCTCCAACTTCATGTAGATGAGAATCCTCAGGCTGCAGGGAAACCGGGCTTAGGGTTTAGGGTTTAGGGACCAATTTTTCAAAAAAGAGATGGAAAGAGCCCGAGAGTTCCGGTAACTTCATTAGATATCGGGTGCTCTTCTGGGGAAGTATTGTCAGATGCAGCGGTTGGAAAAGAACAGGTGAAAGCAAGCCGCCGAGCAAGACGACATCATGTGTTGAGCCGGTGCGCTTCTTGTTGCTTTAGGGTTTAGGGTTTAGAGGGTAGAGGGTTTAGGGTTTAGAGTTTAGGCTTTAGGGTTTAGGATTTAGGGTTTAGGGGCCTAAAGGGGTTAGGGTTGAGTTTTGTTCTATCTATCTTGTCTCTCTTCTTTCCTTGCTTGGCTTGTGTGTCTTTGTTTCTGCCCTAAACGCTACACCCGAAACCCTAAACCCTAAACCCTAAACCCTATGTCTCTTGTATTTATGCAGCCTTTCGGGGTGATCGGCTGCAATCGCTCGGCCAGCCAGTCACTCTTCGCGCAGAAGAACTGAATCACTTGACCGACATGAGCCACGCATGCTGTCCCTTCACCTAGATCTATGTCGAGCAGGAGGTCACGTGGCAGTGCGTCTGCACTTTCTGTGCGCACGGCCTTGCTCGAGCATGACAGTGCTTTGGTCCGGGTGCGCAAGCTGACGCTTGCGACCTCGTGTGGCACTCATCCTCCGAGGCGGCCATGGCCAGGAGCGTCCGGCTGCATGCTGCTGTAGTATAAACGTGATGACTGCCGATGGTTGACGAAGCAAGTCTCTCCACCATGCTACCACGCATGTCCAGTCGCTGCATGCCGCATGTCAAGCAGTGGCCGTGCGAGCCGAGGAGGCTCGGTTTAGGGTTTAGGGTTTTAGGGTTTAGGGTTTAGGGTGCAGCTGTCACGTCCTCTCCAGGTGCTGCACAACAGATATGTCGAGGAGCGATGCCAACACACCGAAAACTCAACCCTAAACCCCACCCGACCCCTTCTGGCAGGGTTTGGGGTTTAGGGTTTAGGCTTTAGGCTTCAGGGTTCAGGGGTTGGGGTTTAGGCGTTTAGGGTTTAGGGCTTAGGATTCAGGGTTTAGGGTATCTACGAGCCACGTGAGAAGCTTCCCGTTTGGTACATTACCTACTACGCCAAGGTTTCCAGTTTTCCTTTGCCTTCCATGGAATGAGCTTTGGGAGAGCGCCTGAGGAGACACCACCCTAGCAATCTCTAAACCCTAGACGATTGGACACCTTCCCGGTCAGGATATAAAAGAATGCATCTCCGCAGAAAGATCTACCGGCAATACAGCTAGTGTTGAATCATACGAAATTGCTGATTCGCTGTACGAGGAATTCAGACTCGATAAAGCAAAGAGATTAGACCAAACAAACAGAACATGCTAGTCAAGTGTAAGTTACAGTACTACTCGGCATGCTTTTCTCCGCAAAAGTGAAGATGCCAAAATACGCACGTAAACCCTGAACCCCGAGGTCATGTAGGTGATGCAGGGTTAAGCTTCAGGCGCTCGCGGTCTCGCGGGATTCAAGAATTGGGGAGTTTCGAGCTCAAGGAAAGGCAGCGTAACATGTTGTTTCGTGTTTAGGGTTCAGGTTCGTGGAACTCCACTTTTTGACAGTCAGCAGGGTAAGCCGAGGGAATGGCAATATATGCTAAACCCCGAACCCTGAAACCCTCTAGACCTGGCACCCGGAGCGAAATAAAGGTCATGGCCGGGCGGCGGAAGAATCACCGATGTCAAGTTCACCTGGCTCAGGGGGTTTTAGGGTTTAGGGTTTAGAGTTTGGGTATGGTTTAGGGTTTAGGGTTTAAGGTTTAGGGTTTAGGGTTTAGGGTTTAGGGTTTAGGGTTTAGGGTTTAGGGTTTAGGGTGTAGAGTTTAGGGTTCGGGGCCGGGTGTTAGGGTGCAGGGTGGAATTAGGGCGGGAGGGTTTGGGGTGTCAACGCTCTCAGCCGTTCTATGAGACGTGCACTTGTTTGTGCTGTGTGTGGATGTTTCCGGGGCTTAGGGTTCGGGTTTAGGGTTTAGGGTTTAGGGTTTAGGGTTTAGGGTTTAGGGTTTAGGGTTTAGGGTTTAGGGTTTAGGGTTTAGGGTTTAGGGTTTAGGATTTAGGATTTAGGGCTTAGGGTTTAGGGTTTAGGGTTTAGGGTTTCGGGGAAAGAGGAATGACGAAGCTCAGGTTATGGCTCCCACTCCAAAAACGCCAGAGCCTTGATTGTTTGACCTAGTTACGCTTTAGGGAGTCTAGGCAAGACAGCAAGACCTTAAGAAACAAACCGCGAATCATTGTTTCGGCTGCTTCATGTGTATGGCAGATCGGCTTAAGGTTAAACCCCGTGGCTTCAGTGCCCATGATGCATGTGAAGCAACTTTGCCAGAGGGCTCCATAGCCCTTACTTATAAGGAATGTAGCTGTAACCCTAAACCCTAAACCCTAAACCCTAAACCCTAAACCCTGACCCTAGACCCTAAACCCTAAACTCCCCACCAGGAAGGCGCCGCAGAGCGAGGCCAGGGCAGCAAGGTGACTGGCCAGCACGCAGGCCTGCGGAGTTTAGGGTTTAGGGTTTAGGGTTTGGGGTGGGTTTACATAGTTTTCCAGTATCCTGGGCGAACTGAAGGTCAATCTTTGGGATTATATAGGGATTACAATACCCCAAGAAGGTTAGGGGTTACCCACTCTACTACTACTACTACTACTACTACTACTACTACTACTACTACTACTACTACGAATTTAGGGCTTAGGGTTTATGCATGCGGTCTTGCGGACTGTCTCGAAGGAGCTCGGAGACAAACTGCGTTTCGGGCTTCGGGTTTAGGGCTTAGGGTTTCGGGGCTAGCGCTTGGGGGTTTGGTTTAGGAGTTGGGGTTTGGGGTTTGGGGTTTGGGGTTTGGGGTTTGGGGTTTGGGTGCTTCATTCCGCATTCCAACTGCTTTGGGGCCAGTTCGGATTGTGGGGCATGTGTTTGTGATTTTGGGGTTTAGTGTTTTCGGGCCTGCTTGGAGTCATGGGTAGCTCTAAGTGGGGTGATGCCACAAGGAAGGTTGCAGACAGAAAGAACCAGAGCTGCCCCCCACTGTAAGCCACAAGGTGGCAGTGGACTTGAAAGGGACCCCTAAACCCTAAACCCTAAACCCTAAACCCTAAACCCTAAACCCTAAACCCTAAACCCTAAACCCTAAACCCTAAACCCTAAACCCTGAACCCTGAACCCTGAACCCTGAGCTGTAGGGGTTCAGGGTTAGGTTGGTTGGTTGGTTCAAAGACACCGATGTGCCATCTCTGAGCCGAGAAGGGGAGCGATCTGAGTGCTTGCACTGACAGGTGCCCCAACTTGGAGGTTCAGGGTAGCTACTTATAGTAGCCAATTATAAGTCTATTTGTTTAACCCACTTAGAAGCTCCCTTAAGTACCCTAACAGGGTTATAAGTACAACTAGAACTTGGTTACTAAGTACCCTGAACCTCCAAGCAGCCCCCAGAAAGCAAAAGCAGCGAACGCGGCTGCGCTTAAATGTTGATCCCAACCTGCGTAACCGTCTCAGGCTTGGCCACTTGGCTTTTGCTAAGTTCAAGTTTTTTTTCGAATGTCGGGTATAACTCCAAGTCTACACCGCTTTGTTCCAAGCGGTGTTGGTGTATTCGTTGCAGTCTGGGATTTTTGTCACCGTCGCAATGGACATGCTTGGCATGAAAGTGCTTCGCAGCATTCTTAAGCTGCCTTCTGCGTATGACCCGCTGAATTCGCCTGTCACTGGGGCCGTCCTGAAAGTCTTTGTCCCATGTTGTCATGTCACGGAGATCGCATGCATTCTTTCGTGATGGTTCGCTGCCTGCTTGGAGTTTTTGTTTTCGGCAGGGTGTCCTCATTTACCGTCGACTCTTCTCCTCTCAGCGTCGCGGTCGTCCTCGTCCTCGCTGGGCGGAAACTACCATCGCTTGGTGAGCTCCTTTATCTTGCTTCCGCAGGAAATCCATGCCGGCGCCAGAAAAGGCGCGCACCAGGGTTTAGTATTTAGGGCCCTGGCTCCATGCCCACCCCCCAACCCCCCAACCCCCGCCCCGCAAAACCCTAAACCCTCAATTATCCCCAAGCATTGAAAAAAAAAAAAACTATACAAAACCCTGAACCCGAAACCACCCAAACCCTTTATTCCAAAGCCCGCGCCGCCCCAAACCCTAAGCACCCGCTGCACCCTGGGAAGTGCAAGGCCTTCACAGCCCGTAAGACACAAACCCAAACCCTCAAAACCCCCCCAAACCATCAGAGCCTCTGCACCGTTTCAAAAAAAAACACACACCCCTTCTAAGCCCCCCAGCCATATGCGAGTTTTCTCATGCCAAGGCGCTGAGAACCCGGTGAAGACAACGATGAGCGCTGTGGGGACGAAAGATGTGAGGGGCAACCTTTGCTTGGAAGATGTCTAAGGGGGAGCTCAAGGTCATGATAAGGTCGTAGGGTTCAGGGTTGTAGGGTTCTAGGATTGCAGGGTTTAGGGTTGCAGGGTTTAGGGTTGTAGGGTTATAGGATTGTAGGGTTTAGGGTTATGGGCTTTTGGGGTCGTAGGGTTGGGGTTAGACGGCTAGGTGTTTGGGCTTGGGTTTGCTTAGAAAATGGGGGCCTTTTGGTCCAACTGCGCCATATAAATTCTAAAAAGGGTATAAACTATATAACTAAAACCCACGAAACAAAGCCAAACTTGTTGTAGAGAGAACCAACCAGCGAAGGCCCCATCATTTTGATCAGCCCTCATGTCAGTCCTGTTGGGGGCCTCAGAAATTAGGGCTTGGGGATTAGGTTTTAGGGTTTAGGGTTAGGGCGTCTGGGTTTGGGGTTTCAAGGTGTTACGAGGGAGCAGAGTGCATATAGAGCTTGGCTAATCGGGAGAGGGCTATATCCCAGGGTACCCTAGAAAAATAGCAAATATGTAGAGAAGCCATCTTGAACATCTGAGCTCCTCTGGCAATTTCTGAGATGGGTACCTGGGGGACTCCTGTGCGGAGGTTGGGTTTATGAAGATTTGCAGGGTTTAGGGTTTAGGGTTTAGGGTTTAGGGTTTAGGGTTTAGGGTTCGGGGCCAAGGAAACCCTGGCTCGCCCAAAAAGTCGGTGGTCATCACAAGTGTGAGTCGCCCAAACCCACTACAAGCACTGCAATTCCCAATAATTCCGGCAAGCCCCTAAGAGATGCAAGACCTATTGACCCTGAAACAAAGACCGAAAACATCCTCAAGATTCGGTAGATGAGACTTGTTGTGCATGAGTTTAGGGTTTAGGGTTTAGGGTTTAGGGTTTGGGGTTTAGGGTTTGGGGTTTGGGGTTTGGGGTTTAGGGTTTAGGGTTTAGGGTTTAGGGCTCAGGGCGTCTGCTTTGCGGCTATGCTGTTGAGCGCAAAAGATCGAGGCTCCGGCTCCTCCTCTACACCTGCCGGCGTGGGGAGAAAGCCCCACGGCAGACCCTTTAGGGTTTAGGGTTTAGGGTTTAGGGTTTAGGGTCTAGGGTTTAGGGTTTAGGGTATGTACTTGGGCCTGAACAGGGATTCCTAGAAGGGCTTGAGGGCCCAAGTACATGCTGTGCAGGTACATGGACCCTTAGGGTTACGGGCCCGAAGCCCCAAACCCAAAGCCCTAAACCCTCCTAAACCCTAATTAAGCCCGAAGCCCTAAGCCCTAAGCCCTATAAATCCTAAACCCTAAACCCTCCCAGGCCTTCCGGCCAGACGCGCAGGCACGTCAGTACCACCCGAAGCAGCACGGGGGCGGTGAGCTGAATCTTGACAGCCTCGGGAGGCTTCCTTCATAGATTTTGGGGCTTCTTTTTGTTTGTTGTTGGGGGGGCTTCTGCGGGGTTGAGGGCGTAGGGTTTTGGGGCTAGGGTGCCCTAAACCCTAAACCCCGATGCCCTAAACCAAGATCTGAACCCTAGCAGTGCCTCTTGGCCAGTCTTGTCACGCGCTTGCAATTTTGTTTTGCGTGCCGCCCTCAGAAGTAGGACTGGTGCACAGCACGAGGGAGGCTACAGCAGTTTCCGCGCGGCGCGATGACGCTTCCTTCCTGAAGTACCCTGAATTACAGGGCTACTCCGACCCTGCTGCGAATGCCAGGCCCCAAGTCCCGGCTCTATTATATTTCCCAAACTTCGGCAACCCTAAGCGGGTGAAGATGTGTTCCAAGGTACTAGAGTGAGTTGTGCTCAGGAAAAGGAACGTGCAAGAGGGTGGGCTGCAGGTATCTATACCCCCCCTCTGAAAGCTTGTTGAGCCCGAAGATCCATGTGCCTGCATACTAGATACTTGGGCCCTAAAGCTACTATATAGGAACCCCATCGAAGGCCCAAGTATATGCCAGAGATGTATATGGATCCTCAGGGAGGAGGGCATATTTGGGCATTATGGGCCCTACGCTAACTCCGAAACCCGAAAGCACCAAGGCTCCCGTACATGACTCTTCGGACCGACTGACCCCCCCCTCCAAGAAGATGGGGCAGCTTTAGGGGGCTTGGGGGGCTTCGGGGGGTTTGAGAGTTTCGGGTTTCGGGTTTCGGGCTAGGGCGTTTAGGGGTGTTCGGGGGGACCCTAAACCCAAACCCTAAGCCCTAAGCCCTAAACAACTGAAAGCCTCAAGAGGGGCCGGTTCCCGTCAAGCCTCAGACAAGCCTAAGGCACCCTGCTGGATTGTGAGCCCTATAAGGGTTTAGGGTTTTGGGTTTAGGGTTTAGGGCTACTACTTCGGAACCCCTTGAACCTATACAGGGGGAGGTGCCCTACCGAACTACAGTAAGCCAGTGTGATCAAGATGCAAAAGCTGCGATCGTCACCCGCCGAAGCACGCCGGAGCCCGACATGTCTGCAGTGAAGACAGCGTGCCTTAGATTTTGTGGGGTTTAGGGTTTAGGGTTTAGGGTTTAGGGTTTAGGGTTTTGGGTTTTGGGGATTGGCAGAAGACGCCTCGGAAGACTTATAACTTAACTACCACTGGTGTGAGGACTTCTTGCTGCTCCTGGTGAGCCGCCTGGCTCCTAAATGAGTGCACCAAAGCCAGTTGTTGTGGGTTCTTTGGCCCGCTGCGGGTTTCGGGACCCTAAACCCTATATACCCTAAACCCTAAACCTTGGTCGCCAACTGTTGGAGGCACCGCCTGCGTGAGTTTCTGGGATATAGCTTTTCGCACATTTTCAGTTCAGTCCAGACCCTACTGTCCTCCTCCCTAAACTCACAATCCCCGAAATACCCTGAGCCCTAAATCCTAAACCCCAAATCGAATTGGTTCAAGGGTATAAACCTCCAAAAAGCCCAAAGCCCTAAACCCTTAACCCCAAACCCCAAACCCCAAACCCTAAACCCTAAACCCTAAACCCTAAACCCTAAACCCTAGACCCTAAACCCTAAACCCTAAACCCTAAACCCTAAACCCTAAACCCTAAACCCTAAACCCTAAACCCTAAACCCTAAACCCTAAACCCTAAACCCTAAACCCTAAACCCTGCCCAACCAACCACCACCGGCCAAGCGTCATGTTGGTCCCCAGGGCGAGGAAGGCCAGGAGACCCAGGCAAACCTGCTCAACCCAAACCGTTTGGGGTTCAGGGTTTAGGGTTTAGGGTTTAGGGTTTGGGGTTTAGGGTTTAGGGTTAAGGGTTTAGGGTTTAGGGTTTAGGGTTCAAAATGTCAGGTCCATTTCTGGACCCTAAACCGACCCCCTGGAAGGATGCATGGAGGGTTTTTTTTCCCAAAATCCAAGGCCCAGCTTGGGAGGTTTGCACTCGGGGATCCATATTGGGGAGGGGGGGGGGGTGTATAGGGTTTGGGGTTTAGGCTTTAGGGTTGCAGGGCGGGGGCTACGGTTCTAGATCCTCGTAGAGCTTCGGTACAGGGGCTTAGTGTTTCCCAAGCCCTGTGGGCGGTCTGAGGGTCTTGTTGCTGTTTAAGGTTTAGGGTTTAGGGTTTAGGGTTTTAGGGTTTAGGGTTTAGGGTTTAGGGTTTAGGGTTTAGGGTTTAGGGTTTAGGGTTTAGGGTTTAGGGTTTAGGGTTTGGGGTTCAGGGAGTGCTTAGGGTTGTGGGTTCAAGGAATAGGGTTTAGGGTTTAGGGGGTTTAGGGTTTAGGGTTTAGGGGTTAGGGTTTAGGGTTTAGGGAAATATTTAAATGTTATGGACATGTCAATATGTGAGAGCCATCTACGGTTAAGCAATGTAGCTAAGGCGCGTAGTAGCCGGCCGCAACGAGGAAGGAAAACGTGACCTTGCTCTGTGCGATCCCTTTCCCTTCTCCTGTCGCCCAAACCCGCGTGGCATCTTTAGGGTGTAGGGTGTGCAGATTGGGCTTTAGGCTTAAGGGTATACTGCCATGGACATTTCGGGCTGCGGGCTGCCCGGCCCCCTAAGCACGGAATTCTGCAGAGAAAGCCTCCATAGGAAATTTCAGAAATTTCCCCCACAGAAAAGTGTCCTAGGCTCCTAAGCGCCGAGACCCATCCCCTAAACCCAAACAAAACGGGCCCGATGTTGCAGCCCGCCCATCGGACCCTAAACACTCAACCCTAAACCCTAAACCCTTCAGGGGCTTTACCCTAAACCCGTCAGGGGCTTTTAGTGTATACTGGCTTTTCACTTCGGGTCACTCTTCTGATGCTACACTCATGGGTTTCCACTCGAAGCATTCCTAGGGTTCAGGGTTTGGGTCTTCAGCCTAAGCCCCAGTGACTACTTCCAGAAGCGCACACACACACACATATTGAAGGGATGGAACCGGGAAGACTCTCCCCCTTGTCTACTCTGGCACAAAACCCGAAAACCCTAAACCCTAAATCCTAAACCCCTAAACCCAAAACCCTTAACCCAAAACCCTAAACCCTGAACCCTAAACCCTAAACCTAAAGCCTACACCCTAAACCCTAAACCCTAAACCCTCGCCGAGACACGCAAGGCTCCCACTTAGTGCGGTCGCTCATACTTTGATGGAGCCTTAGTAGCTCAGTGACCATGGGTTTAGGGTTTAGGGTTTAGGGGTTTCTGCATAAGGGAACCCAGAACCAAAAAAAGGCAAAGGGTACCACTTGGCTACCAAGGAGCGCAGGGAAGCAGGGGTGGCCGGCGAAGCAAAAGATGATGAGGCCATAGGCCTCCCCAGGGCAGCCAAAAAAGCGGGGGCTCACGCAACCCTCCGACCCTAAACCCTAAACTACTAAACCCTAAACCCTAAACCCTAAACCCTAAACCCTAAACCCGAAACCCGAAACCCTAAACCCTAAACCCTAAACCCAGATCCCGTCTGGGGCTTGCTAAGGAGCTGCTTCTTGTCAAGCCTGACTCATTCTTACTGGCTCAACTCAACCCCTCCAAAAAAAATGTGCCCTTATAAACTTCGATGGGCACGGGCGAGCACCCTAAACCCTAACAGCCTAACCGACTAAAAAAACATAAAAGCCCAGAACACTAAAACCCTCAAACCCTAACCCCAAAATGTCTAAACCCTCAAACCCTGAACCAAACCCTAAGCCCCGAGATAGAGCGTGGTCTGGTGTACTGGCCCATGGGACCCTAAAACACTAAACCCTAAACTCTAAACCCAAAACAGCTCCGAAAGCCCCTGCTGGTGGTGCTGGCCAGGGCGCCCGGAAAACGTCCCCAACCCCGAGAGGGGCAGAGAAAAGAGGCCAGTTCCACTCATTCATCTGGAACCTGAGAGAGGGTTTGGGGTTTAGAGTTCAGGGTTGAGGGTTTCGGATTTAGGGTTTAGGGATCCACACGCCCCTAAGGGGCTTAGGGTTTAGGGTTTGGGGTTTGGATTTCGGGTTCTAGCCCTAAGCTCCTCAGGACCTATCTATGTATTATCCTAGACTGTTGTGTCACAAGGGGTCGGAAGATCTGATGAACCATGGAGTAGCTGAGCACCTTGCCAGAGCACGACAGAGCAACGCGCCCTGGATTTGAGACCCTAAAACCCGACAATTCAGAACCCTCACGAAGGGGATGTTCCCCCCTATCATAGCAGAATCCCTATTAAGGACTCTTAGTATAAGGGGGAACTTCCCCCCTACTACCCCCGGGTCCCCCCAGAATTAAAGACATCTAGGGATAATTTCGCCTAATTAAGCCTGTTTCAAACCTAGGAGGGGTAGTAGAGAAACCCGTGATTCAAAGGGCAGGTGTTGAAATGACGGTCTGAGTTCTTCAAAGGGCAGGTGTTGAAATGACGGTCTGAGTTCTGGGGGGTACCCGAACTATGGTCTTCCGACTTCGAACCGAAAGCAGCAAAAAAGGGGTTTGGGGTTTAGAGTTTAGGGTTTCGGGGTTTAGGGGTTTCGGGGTTTAGGGGTTTGGGGTTTAGGGGCTTCGGGGTTTAGGGTCTAGGATTCTTAGGAGCCCCAGCCCACAGCAATCTCGAAGCCTAGCAGCAGATCGATCAGGTATGCAGTGCTGGCGACGCACAGCGCTACCAGCGACCTTGGTGCACACCAAAACCACCACAGGGTTTAGGGTTTAGGGGCAAGGGCCCTAAACTGAACACATCGGCTCAAGCCCTATATCATTTTAATCCTGTAAGCCCTACAAGCCCGAAAGTAAACCCTACAAAACCTATGGGCCCGATGAACCCTATGAACCCTAGAAGCCCGATAAACCCTGTAAAGCCCCTAAATGAACCCCATAAACCCTTTAAACCCGATAAACCCTGTTAACCTATGAACTTTATAAGCCCTCTTTACCCCTAAGCCCAACAGCAAACAAAAGGATGTAAAGGAAGGCATGGTCCACTTCAGCTTTCCTTGAAATCCGAAACCCGAAATTCTCAGGGTAGGTTCACGGGCTCTTATGTGGCCCCTTAAAAAGGGTACCCCTTATATACCCCTTAAAGACCGATGTAACTACGCTTAGAGAAGTTAAACCCCCCCACCAGAATCAAGGCTATCTAGGGATGATAGCTAAGCCTAATTAGGGTTATTTAAGGGGGGAACCTACGCGGGGGGGGGGGGGGGGGGGGTTAGTATAGACGGGGGGTAGTAGGGAACCCATGAAAGCCCCAAATCACGGATGCAGCTCACACAGCTCCAGGTAAAACTAGCTCCAGTCGCACAATCTTTGCATCAACAGAAAGGATATCTGGAGGTCGCAGGGCATTTCCCGGATCAAATATCAACTCAACCCTAAACCCTGAACCCTAAAGCCCTAAACCCTAAACGCTGAGCCCTAAACCCTGAACCCTAAACCCAAACCCTAAACCCTAACACCTAAACCCCAAGAGCCCTCGCGTCCAAGGGGCGCTAAGGAGACGTAGGCGTAGACGCGCAGAGGTATGAAGACCAGGAGGGCCGTGATAGCAGTGCAGAAAGCTACTGCCTTGGGTGCAGAGAGACACAATCTACCGGCCGAGGGTTTAGGGTTTGGGGTTTAGGGTTAGGGTTTAGGGCTTAGGGTTTAGGGTTTAGGATTTAGGGTCTAGGGTTTAGGGTTCTGGGTTCAGGGGTCAAGGTTTAGGGTTTAGGTTTTAGGTTATTGGGTTGGGTTTAGGGTTTAGGGTTTAGGGTTTAGGGTTTAGGGTTTAGGGTTCAGGGTTCAGGGTTCAGGGTTCAGGGTTCAGGGTTCAGGGTTCAGGGTTTAGGGTTTAGGGTTTAGGGTTCAGGGTTTAGGGTTTAGGGTTTAGGGTTTAGCGCTTCAAGCCTACTTTACTTTTTCGTAGGTTCCCGAGAAAAAGCCTGTAAGGATTATTGAACCACAACCTAGAAAATGATAAGGTTTTGGATTCTGACTCTTGGGTCTCGATGAAGAACGCGACTTAAAAACCTGAAAAGCCAGAGCCCTCAACACCTTAAGCCCCAAGCCTGACGTTCAGAGCCCAAAACCTACTCTGTTGTAGGTTTCACTGCACCCTAAAAGCTGCCTTTGATGCCCTAAACCCTAAACCCGAAACCCTAAACCCTAACAAAGCTGCTTTTTGAGGCTTTCAAGACCCAGGCGCGTGCGGCTCGTCCATTCCCAATAGCCCTTGGGCGTTGATGCCACTCCTCGGTTTAGGGTTTAGGGTTTAGGGTTTTGCGCCAACAACACCTTGAAGAAGGAGTCCTTGGAGCCTTGGAGTAAAAAACCCTAAATTAAACTTGACCTGGACTTTTGAGAAACTATTCATGACTGCAGTATGTACCCTTTGCAAAGGAAGTGCTCTTCCACCCTACTTTTTGAGTAGACCCTGGGAAAAACGGCAATCGTTTTTCAGTACTTTTCAGGTACAAGTCGTTACAATCGGAACCCAAAACCAGAAAAAAGTATTCAAGTATAGTACTCCAAAGCCCAGTACATCTTGATAGGCCACACCTGCTGGTCCAACTTCTGTTCGGCGAAGTTTGGCATTAAGAATTGAAGGTTCTCATGACCATCCGGTTGCGAACGAGACATCGAAGAGAAGCTCCTCCAAACACTAAACCCTAAACCCTAAACCCTAAACCCTAAACCCTAAACCCTAAACCCTAAACGCTAAACCCTAAACCCTAACCCTAAACCCTAAACTCCCCGATCTCTGAGCATCTCCTGCCGCGGTACATGACGAGGAAAGTCACCACAGCCAGCCACAGTTCCATGGCGGTGGTGATGGCGATGATGCCTTCGGCAAGGGGGGAGGTTTAGGGTTTAGGGTTTAGGGTTTAGGGTTTAGGGTTTAGGGTTTACTGTAAGGTTTAGGGTTTAGGGCTTAGGGCTTAGGGTGTAGACATCTTCGTAAAAATGAAGACTTTCTACTAATTGCTTAAGAACCCTCAGCCAACGATGTATAATATATTCTTCCTTATAAGGGCAGTGCAGGGATCATTATCTCGCATGGGGTTTCTAAAAAGCAATCGTAGTATATGACCCCGAGCCCTATAGCCGATTACTGCGCCAGGATGGAAGTTCGTCGCACAGGGCATGCTGACATGTACGTAGAAACTCCCATGACGTGTGTTAGCCTGAGGAGTTCGTATGGAAGTTTAGGGTGTAGGGTTTAGGGTTTCAGGGTTTTGGGCTTAGGTTTGGTTTTGGGGTTTGAGGGTGTAGCAAGGCCCATGTCATTCGGGGATTTGTTGGGATCAGGTCGATGTGGACAGGGCCGTGTTGTCCTACACTTGTACGCGCTAAACCCAAACCGCATGGTTGTACTCTGAAGGGCTACAAGGGTTTTGGGATGTTACTTGGACAGATTTGACCTTGCAGTAGCAAATACGCCTTGCTCGGAGGTTCAAGGTACTCATATCCCAGTTATAAATAGTATGGTAATAACCCACTTGTAAGCCCCTTAAGTACCCTAATGGGGCTATATTTGGGTTATAAGTACAGAGATAATTGGGTTACGAAGTTCCATGGACCTCCAAGCAGCTACTAGGTATCACCCAACACAAGCTGCAGGTACAGAGTTCCAGGCAGGCTTTGAGGGTCTAGGGTTTAAGGTTTAGGGTTTAGGGTGGGACTGGAATTCGGGCGCTCATTAAGTCAGGCCTCGGGTTCTTTGTGAGATAGGGGTGTATGTGGACTTAGGTGCGTTAAAGGGGGTTTTACGGTTGAGGCTAAGGGCTAGGGGGTTTGGAATTGGTGGGCTTGTTTCCCCTGGTTCTTAGTAGGAATGAGGGAGTTAGGGCTGTCCCTGTAAAGAGATGTTACAGGGTACCTCATTCCCTCATTCCCTACTAAGAACCAGCCAGTCATGATGCGCACGCATCGCCGAACTGAGGCTCGGGCGCTTGCCCCACCTTGACTTGCTGGAGAAGGGCTGAGGGTTTAGGATTTAGGGTCCAAAAGCTAGCCTGGAAAGCTTTACACCTGTAGCCGCAAACTTTAAGCCCTACAAGCCCTGGGTTCACCAGATATCTTGAAACGCTGACCAAGTTATAAGGTGGAGGTAACAGCAACTGGCCGAAATCCATCCCAGACATGCTAAATCCTCTAAGAGGACGCCTTCTGGGTTAGGGCTTAGTAAACAGGGTTTCGGGCTTGAAGTTTGGCGTACCCAAAAAAACTTAAATTCTAAACTCTACATCATTTCGGCTGGCGGGGGGTCAGTTAGTCCTTGTGTTTTGTGTGTGCGCGAGTGTGCGTCAAGGGGGGAAGGGGCGGCGGGGTGGACTGTTGGAGTTCAACACAAAACACCCTAAGCCATCGCAAAATCCCTGCATACCCTGCGCTGTGAAGCCTAAGCGTGAACGCGAAAGCAACCCTATAAACCCTTTGCAACTAAACCCGAAGTAAACCCTGCAGAACCCCGATAAACCCTGTAGCAGCTGTAAGCCCTATAAACACGATATAAACCCCATAAAAAAAAAAAAAAAAACCATACAAAATACCATAATCCCTAGAGAAGCACTAAACCCTAGATAAACCCGCAATCCTATACAAGTCCTCAACCCTATACCGGCCCTAAACCCTATATAAACCCTAAACCCGACACAAACCCTAGAGGCACGTTCTCGCCAAGCAACTCGCCGAAGGCCACCTTTTCACAAGCCAGCGCATGCCAATGCGAAGTGAGGTTTTGGTGGGCTTGGGGGGGGGGGGGGGGGGGGGGGGGGATCCCTTGGACAGCTCTTTAGGGCTTGTAGTAGGGCTTATAAGGCATACAGGGTTTACAGTCAGGTTTTTTTGGTGTACAGGGTTTAGAGGGTTAGCGTTCTGAACCACTGGGTAGAGGGTTTCGGGATTGAAGGGGTTGTAGGATTTACTAGGTGTCCAGGGCATTATAGCTATAGAGGTTCTAGGGCAAAAAAACAGAATCCAAACCAATCCTATCCCCTAAACCCCTGAGGCCCCACAAGCCCTCTGGCCCTCTAAGCATTTAAACCCTACAAACCCTAAACCCTAAACCCTCAACCGCCCTATGACCCTTAGATCCTAAATCCTCAACCCCCCCCCCCAGTCAAGGTGCTCAGGAATCAGGCAGTTAGGTGCTTGGCTTTGAGGCGCAGCCCAACAAGACCCCTGCTTTTGTCGGACGAAAGCAGACGCACAATTTCCTCATGACCGAAACTCGAGGCAGCACTTAGAGCCTTGGTAGCTGAGTAACCAAAAAAATATGGGCAAGCTCTTTTTGGGTGGGTTACTTTATAAGGGAACCCAGAACTTTAAATAGTGCAAAGCGTACCACTGGGCCACCAAGGAGCACAGTCGCCAGCCTTGTTGACTCGATCTGGATCTGTCCGGGCATCCAAGAGCTGGCGAGCCACATCTGCATGCCCAGAGAAGCACGCGCAGATGAGAGCTGTGTCCCCCTCCTGATTCGCAAAATTTGTGTCAACACTTGCCTCCAGTAGCAACTTTACAGTGTCCACCTGGCCCTCACCTGCTGCGCAGATGAGGGCCGTGCCACCCTGATGGTTCGCCACGTCCTTGTTGGCCCCTGCCGCCAGGAGCCGGCGCGCTATGGCCTCATGGCCCTTCTCACAGGCACAGATGAGGGGAGTGCCGCCCACATCGTTCGCCAAATCATGGTTGGCCCCGGCGCCCATCAGCAAAAGCACAACCTCCGTGTGGCCTTCATCGCATGCGCAGATCAACGCGGTGTCGCCGTCCGAGTTGCCAAGATCTACACTCGCGCGTGTTTCCAAGAGGAGCTGTACAACTGGAGCATGTCCTCCGCAAGCACTTGCAAGAAGGGGCGTCCCACCGTTGTTATTGGCCAGGTCTTTGTTGGCCCTGGCCTCAAGCAGCAGACGTGCGGTTTCCAGGTGGCCATGACTGGATGCACTGAGCAGCGGAGTGCCTCCCAAGTTGTTGGCCATGTCTGGGTCTGCTGATGCTTGCAGCAACAGTTGTACCTCGGGGACCGATTGCCGGATTCCATAGGGTCTGGGGTTGTATCGGGTGTAGGGTTTAGGGTTTAGGGTTTAGGTAGGGAAGCGCCTGGAAGCCGTGCAATTCACGGCATTGTCTTCTTGCACTGTAGATATTCTATCTTCTATGTGCGATTTCAATATGTTGTATATTATGTAATTACTGTCTATTGGGATGTTCCTCCTTATACAAGCAGTCCTCAATGGGGACTATATAAGGGGGGGACTACTATTATATGATCCCTATGAAGGACGGTTCGCATAAGGGGGAACATCCCAAATTATCCAAACCCTAAACCTGAACCACAACCTAAACCCTAAACCCTAAACCCTAAACCCTAAACCCCAAACCCTAAACCCTAAAATCTATACTACGCGTGTAGTGCGGGCTTCGCCTGCTGCAAGCTATATATTAGAGCATGTGCAGGCGCTGGGCAGGCTCCAAGAGGCCGCCCAAGGCTGTCGACCGGCTGGGGTTTGGGGTTTGGGGTTTAGGGTTAGCTCAGGCTTTGAACGAGCCTCGCATTCTACCGGCCTAGCATGTGCAAACAGAGACGGGTTTGGAACGGATTCTCGTGTTGTTGCAAAACTTCCTCTTGATGGCTGGATGATCTGTACAAAGCCAGCTTGCGCGCCCTCAATCGGCTGAAACAAAAATTGGCATCCAGGACTCTGTAACACCAGAACCGGTTTAGGGTTTAGGGTTTAGGGTTTAGGGTTTAGGGTTTAGGGTTTAGGGTTTAGGGTTTAGGGTTTAGGGTTTAGGGTTTAGGGTTTAGGGTTTAGGTCTTAGGTAGATGGACGGTAAACAACCCCGCAGAGTCCATGTAGGGATGTATAGGGTTCGGGCCCTAAACCCTAAACCCTAAACCCTAAACCCTAAACCCTAAACCCTAAACCCTAAACCCTAAACCCTAAACCCTAAACCCTAAACCCTAAGGGCCCCTTCTGCCCAAGACACAACTTCCACACTGCCCTTCTCACATGCGCAGATAAGGGCCGTCCCCCCAACCTTGTTGGCCAGGTGGGTGCCGGCTCCAGCAGCCAAGAGCAGACGAGCAATCTCCTGCAGGACGAGATGACTCCTGAAAGAGCCTATGGTTCATATACCTCAATAGAAATTATCATGGTATAGGGTATATGACCGCAATTTTGGGCCAAGGGCTCCGTATGCTCATCATCACATGCGCAGATGAGGGCTGTGTCGCCCTCAACGTTGGATTTGTTGGGGTCCGCCAATGCCTCCAGTAGCAACTTTACAGTGTCCACATGGCCCTCACCTGCTGCGCAGATGAGGGCTGTGCCACCCTGACGGTTCGCCACGTCCTTGTTGGCCCCTGCCGCTAGGAGCAGGCGCGCTATGGCCTCATGGCCCTTCTCACAGGCACAGATGAGGGGAGTGCCGCCCACACCGTTCGCCAAATCATGGTTGGCCCCGGCGCCCAGCAGCAAAAGCACAACCTCCGTGTGCCCTTCATCGCATGCGCAGATCAACGCGGTGTCGCCGTCCGAGTTGCTAAGATCTAAACCGGCACCTGCTTCCACCAACAAGCGCGCAACGGATAGGTGGTTCCTTGGAGACCGAATGAGCCCAATAATTGGGATGACATGACCATAATTCCTATCCTGAACTTGAGATGACATCCGCCCTACACTATACAATCCCTACTCAGGCAGGATGGATTAAGTCCCGAGGTTCTCACACGCGCTGCAAATCAGCGGGGTTCCTCCGCCATGGTTGGCTAAGTCTTTGTCCGCACCGGCCTCGAGAAGTATTTGTACAATCTCCTGATGCCCATTGAAGGATGCACAGATGAGTGGTGTGCCCCCAACGGCGTTTGCCAAGTTCTTGTCGGCCCCGACGTCCAAAAGCGCGCGCACCATTTCAGGGTGGCCTTCGTCACAAGCACAGATGAGAGCCGTGTCACCATCGGTGTCAGGCAAGTTCACATCTGCCTCAGATTCCATCAGTAGTTGCACGACTTCCACATGTCCATGCTGACCAGCCAAGGAAAAAGGTGTGCGCCCACCGGCACTTCTCAAGTTTGGATCTTGCGGGCGGTGCAAAATCTGACCTATACTCCCCTTAGAACCTTAATAACAATCCCTAAGGGTCCATGTACCTAATGATTATGTACTTGGGCCCAAAAGTCCCTTTATAGGAAGTACTTTAAGGCCCAAGTATTCCCTATTTAAGTACATGGACCCTTCGGGAATAGTATTCTAAATGTCCTCTTGGGTTTAATATGAACGGGAATACACAAGAATTCCCAAGGGGGATATAGTGACGAATCTCAGACACACGGCCGAGCGCAACGGCGTCTGCCAGCTCGTCGGCTTGCAACTGTGATGCCTGAATCAAGCACAGCCTCAGTTGCTGAGTTCATAAGCCCCGCAAAAGTGTACAATTTCAGTTCTATAGGGGGGTAAGAGTCTCTCAAGAGTGTACCCTAAACCCTAAACGCTAATTCCTAATCCCCTCTTTCAGCTACTAAGCAGCATGATAAGATGCAAGTCCATGGCAGCCTCGAGTTTCGACGAGTCATCCAGGATCTGGCCTTCGAGGAGAAGTCTCTGTCGCGACTGTGGGAATCCATACCTCCGTGCTTGGGGGGGACTTGGAAGACCTAAACCCTGAAACATTGGGGTGGGGGGGGGGCGGGGGGAGCGGCGGGGGGAGGGGCGGGGGGGGCGGGGGAGGGCGGGGGGTGGACAATGCCTGGGCGATGATGCATTTAGGGTTTAGGGCTTAATTAGGGTTTAGGACGTTCCCACACAACTGCATACCGAAACAATGGTCCTAACGCACACCCAGGCGCATCGTTTGCAAATGTTCCTTCAGCTTCTTCACATCACCCAACTCCTCCACGGACACAGCAGTTAGCTCCTCTCCGGACGCTCGAAAGATGTGCAGCATCCGACAGAAGATCCTCAACGGTCGAATCTTCTTGAAGGCACAAGAGCGCTGCAAGTAATGAACTTGAGTTGATTAAGCTACCAACACATGTAAGCCAGTAAATGTACTGTAAAGTATGTGCAAAAGATACATACATATATATATATATATACACATGTACATATGTGTAGGTATCTAAATGCATCTACCAGCGTATATACATATATATATAATCATATATATATGCTCATATATATATATATATGTGTCATATCATATCATATCATATCATATCATATCATATCATATATATCATATATCATATATCATATATCATATATCATATATCATATATCAAATATATATATATATGTGTATTATTTATTTGATTATATATATATATATATGCGTGTGTGTGTACATTCACAAATATGGATACATACATACACATACAGACATAGGTACATGCATTCACACATGGTATGCATACATGCATATGATGGTGCACCTCGGAGAAGGTCAACAGTTGAGTTCGTAAGGTTCCTTCTGTAAGGAGGTCACCAACTCAGCAGCGACCTACACCGATATGTATGTCTAAGGCGCCTTACACATTCGATACAGCCGTCATAGGAATCCTATACTTACCCTCAAACCCGACACCCTGTAAGCTGAACTTCCCCTGGGGCTCAGAATTGGCCTAAACCCTAAACCCTAAACCCTAAACCCTAAATCCTAAATCCTAAACCCAACAACCCCCTAAAATAACAGCCCTTGCAGCCCGGTAGCTTTTGACAAAGCGGTGCTCCGCAGCTCTGAAGTAGGCGCGGCAGCACAGTCGTTCTCTCCCCATGGAGCTGTTTAAGGTCTGGGGTTTAGGGCCATGGAAGGTTTAGGGCTTATTTAGGGTTTAGGGTTTATAGGGTTTAGGGTTTAGGGTTCAGGGTTCGGGTTTAGGGTTTAGGGTTTAGGGTTTAGGGTTTAGGGTTTAGGGTTTAGGGTTTAGGGCATAGGCTCTTTATTAGACTAGAGATGAGGAGCTTAGACTTATAGGGTTGTAGGATTACATGGTCTCAGTCTCCCCCCCCCCCCGCCCCCCCACACCCCAAAACAAGGATCCTACAGTAGCCGCAAGACATGTCAGGGGTAAGTACCTTGGTATTGGGGTAGCCAAGCCTACATGGGGGTTTCCGAAATTAGGGGTACCTCAGTGGGGTCTGTCTTAAGGGCCCCTTATTGTCGTATAGCCCTTTGTTAAGCCTCAGGCTCTCAGCGCTGGCTTGGACGCATGGGTTTTTTGGGCGTGTTCGAGCCGAAAGGTCAGATCCAAACCTTCAGGATTGGGGTCCATGTACCGGCCGGGGGGGGGGGGGGGGGGTGTTTAGGGTTTAGGGTTTAGGGTTTAGGGTTTAGGGTTTAGGGTTTAGGGTTTAGGGTTTAGGGTTTAGGGTTTAGGGGCAAACCTTGCGAAATTGTTGAGGGTTATGCAATGAATCCATCAGAGGGCTTAGGGGAATCAAGTGAGTTGTTTACTGAAGGAATCTCTTTTAGAGAGGGGTCGGAAAGATTACGAATTAGTAGTATCCCCTTACGGTCCCAACAGAAATATACTAGAATACCCCCCCCCCCCCAAAAAAAAAAGTCTAATGATTGGGGCCCGAAACCAAACCCTAGTCTAATTATTCATGCCCCGTATAGTAGGGTCGGATGCCCTTATAATACCCCCCCCCCCCCCCCAATAAGGTACACCTAATTCCGGAAACCCCCCAAAGAATCTCCGTAGGGTTTTTGGCACCCAAAAAAAACTAGTCTAATTTACTAAGGCACGAAACCCCTAGTCTAGTTATTAAGGGCCCCTATAGAAAGGTTTTGGGCTGAAGGCTGGAGGGAGTCGGGGTCTTGGTACCCCAATAACCATATTGCAATAAGGGCACCCTTTTTTGGTATGTTCATTTGTAAGGGAACCCTAAACCCTAAACCCAAAAAACCCTAAAACCGAAACCCTAAACCGGGTACCACTGGGCTACCCAGGGTTCTTGCCTCGGCGAGGTAGCCGAAGTCGCGCTGCGAAGGTGGTGTTGCTGAGGCACCTGGACAGATTGCGGGGGCTACAGAAAGCCGAAGCCCTGAAACCCGAAACCCGAAACCCTAAAACCCCAAACCCTACCTAAATCCGAACCCCTAAACCCTGCACCCTAGCCCCTGAACCCCTGAACCCCTGAACCCCTGAACCCCTGAACCCCTGAACCCCTGAACCCCTGAACCCCTGAACCCCTGAACCCCTGAACCCCTGAACCCCTGAACCCCTGAACCCCTCAACCCCTCAACCCTTCAACCCCTAACCCTAAACCCCTAAACTCCTGACCCTACCTAAATCCGAACCCCTAAACCCCTGAACCCCTGAACCCCTAATCCCTAAAACCCTAACCCCTGAACCCCCTGAGGCCTGACGTCCCTGTCCAGGCTTCTACAGGCTGCGGGCTGAGAGGGCTAAGGGCTTATGCTTTTTATCGGAGGGCCCTACACCCTAAACCCTAAACCCTAAACCCTAAACCCTAAAAAACCCTAAGCCCTAAACCTAAACCCTAAGCCCCGCCCTAAGCCCTGATGGCCTGGCCGCTTCGCAGCCAGCTCCAGGGCCTTCCCCGACAACGGGTTTAGGGTTTAGGGTTTAGGGTTTAGGGTTTAGGGTTTAGGGTTTAGGGTTTAGGGTGTGGCGGTTGATGGTGCTTCGGGTGCGTTCTAGAGGTCAGTGTGGAGGTGGTTGAGGGCTTTTTTACGTGATGTTGCCTCATGATGGTGACAGCCTAAACCTTAAACGCAGTTTTGGGTTTTTTTTTGGGGGTTGGGGGTTGGGGGGGGGGGGGGGGGGGGGGGGGGGGGGGGGGGGGGGGGGGGGGGGGGGGGGGTGAGAAATTCAGTGGGAGTTGCTCCTTGTGGGTAGGCGAGCTCGATATCTCAATTCCCAGTGAGCACTAACTGCCCAAAATGCTTCGGGCACCTTTAACCCTGAACCTACCCTCCTCGTGCTGCGAAGCAGCTGAGGTAAGACTTGCGGGCTTTCAGGCGAAACCCTCTTCAAACCTTGTTACGCTTAAACCCTGAACCCTCAAAACCTCTAAGCACCAAACCCCCAACCCCCCGAAAAAAAACACACACACACACACACACAAAAAAAAAAAAAATCAAACAAACCCACACCCCGAAACCAAAAACTTCAGAAACCCTAGCCGGGCTTGGGAACGGAGGACGAGGCTCTCAAGCCTGTGGCCTACGCACGTCTACATTCCCCCGGCACCTGACCAATCAGCATCGCGGTGAAGGCTGTCCTGAGCGTGCACGGTTGACATTGCCATATGATTATCGTGAGTGTTTCTCTTACCATTAACATTAACGACTTATTCTATTTTGACAACTATGAGACTTTGACATTTCTATAACTATACTAGTTAATGATCATGTATAGCTCAAAGCCGTCCAACCCTGCATCAGCGACACCCTACGCGGACATCCACGGCACCGGGCTGTTAAGCTGTCCTGCCTACTTGTCAGGAGTGAGTGGATGCAGGACGATGCAGGATTTTGGGGTGCGCCATTCTGGTTTTGGAGCGTGTCGCGAGGATTCTGTCTTGTAGGCCTCTTTCTGGCACCTTGCATGACATGCCCATCACCGGGCTGGAACGCAGCTTTGGGGTGATGACCTTGTGTCCCCCCCCGAAACCCTAGACAGAACCCTAAGCCCTAAACCGCAAAGAGCCCTTGAACTGCAAACCAAATACCTAAACTTGGAGGGTTTTGGGTATAAGGGTCAAGGGCACAGGGTTTGTGACTCTGGCCCCCCCCCCCCCCCCCCCCCCCCCCCCCCCCCCCCCCCCCCCCCGGACCCACACCCACACCCACACCCACGTACCCACACCCGCCCCGCACCCGCACCCGCACGCCGCACCCCGCACCCCACCCGCACCCACAACCCACCCCACACCCACACCCACAACCCACACCACCAACACCCACAACCCACACCCCACCACACCCACCCACACACACCCACACACCCCCACCCACCACCCACCCCACCCCCCCCACCCCACTACACCCCACACACACACACCCACAGAGACACAACCACACACACTCCCGTCGCCAGATAAAACAACACACCACACACCAGAGACACCACACACACAAGACAACACACACACACAACAGAGACACACACACACACACAGAGACGGACGACGGTCACACGACACACAGCACACCACACCCGAACACACACACACACCCCCCCACAACACACACACCCCACACACACACACGCACACGCCCACGCCACCACACTCACACACACACACACACAGCAGACAGACAGACAGACAGACAGACAGACAGACAGACAAGACAGTACAGACCGACATACATACAGAGACCACACACACACACACACAGGACACACACCAGCACACCAGATACGGGCTTTTATAGACCCTAATAACCCCTTAAAAGTCCCTTTCTAGAGATATGATGGGGATGATGGGCCTAATAGCCCGTCTGTCACACACCCACAGAGACCACACACACACACACCCACACACCAGAGACACACACACACACCGAGACACACACACACACAACAACGACAGACACACAGACACACACACACACACACACACACACACACAGAGACACACACACACACACACAGAGACACACACACACAACACACACACAGAGACACACGCACACGCACACGCACACGCACACGCACACGCACACGCACACGCACACGCACACGCACACGCACACGCACACGCACACGCACACGCACACGCACACGCACACGCACACGCACACACACCAACCAACACACCAACACCAACACCAACCAAGTTATTGTTGGTTGATGAGGGTTTAGTGAATGGAGCATGAATATGATTCCTATCCCCTATCCCAAGGCCCTAAACCTAGACCCCAAACCATAAATCCTATGTGTTCAGTCGCTACTATCCAACACTAAGTCAAGCCTAAACCCTAAAAGCCTCAACCCTAAACCCTCGACCCTAAACCCCTGCAAACTGTCAACCCTAAACCCTCAACCCTCAACCCCGAGCTCCCTGCATGGCAACCACCAGCGCCAGCAGAGCCACAGCGATGTAGCGGGTCAGTCCTTTTCTTTCGTTGTTCTTTTGTTTAGGGTTTAGGGTTTAGGGTTTAGGGTTTAGGGTTTAGGGTTTAGGGTTAGGGCTTTAGAGGGCTTAGGGCTTGGGGTCCAAGGCCGCGGGCTTAGGCTGTAGGGGTTTAGGGCTTATAGGCTTCGGGGTCGAGGGTTTAGGAGTGCGGGTTTTAAGAGCTTCGGGCTCTTTCGCAACGCAGCCGAGGATGCCACCGAAGCCCTTCAGAGAATGAAGGATTTGAGGACTTGGGCTTTGGGGGCTCACAGGATGAGAGGAGTTCAAAGACCCCTAAAACTTAAATGTTTAGGGTACCCAGGGCTTTAGGGTTTAGGGTTTAGGGTTTAGAGTGTCAGGAGTTGGAGATGTTGGAGGGGGTCTAGGTGGACTCGTTCGATTCCCTGAACCCTAAACCCCAAACCCTAAACCCTGAGCCCTCTTGCTGCACGAAACCAAGCCGAGGGGCGGAAGGCATACGGAACGGAGAGGACACCTCACAGGCGAAATACAGGGGCCCGAAGAATTAGAATAGGCTTTTGGGGTGTTGTGATCGTAAGATTAAAAAGGGACCCTAAGGGAATTCCATTAGTAAGTACTCCGACCCCTATGTTATAGGTATTTGGACAAAATTCCTGAACCTCCAGAGCCTAGGCCGTTTACCTTTGGGCTCAGAAGAGCCTAGAAACCCTTAGGGTTTAGGGTTGAGGGTTTAGGGCACATAAGGCCAATGGGCCTAAGCAAACCTACATGAGAGCCCTGAGAGCACTAAGGTTCGGATTTTTTCGGGCTGGAGCTGCATCTTGTCTCTAAGGATAGTTACATGGTCCCTCTCTATACAAATTATAAGGGCCCAGGCATCAGAACCGGTTAAACGAGGTTAGGGACCATACCAAGGGCCCATGAAACAACCCTAAACCCTAAACCCTAAACCCTAAACCTGTTACGGGTGCCACGCGTTGGCAGCACAGAGAGGCCTCCTGGTTCGGAGCCTTCAACTCTAGGAGCGGCGACCCTAAAACCTAAGCCCTAAACCCTAAACCCTAAACCCTAACGCCGCCTCTTTTTCCGGACCCTAACTTGGCTGACTTCTGAACCCCTCCTAGAAGCTTAACTTTTCGGCTCCTGATTGTAGTTTCTACCAAAAACCCGAAGAAGCTTCAAGTCCTAAGAGCCAAGGCAGAAGAAAGCCAAGCTAAACTCTTGCACTTGCTGAAACCCTAAACCCTAAACCCTAAACCCTAAACCCTAAACCCTACAAAGCACTTTCAGGTCGCCAAAGTCTGAAAAGTGTGAGCGCTTGACAACCTTGAAAGGTAGCCAGAGGAAGAACTCCTGACTCACCTCATACACCCTCTGCTACCTTGGGCGGTTTACGGATTCGGGTTTAGGGTTTAGGGTTTGGGGTTTAGGGCGTTTGTAACCAGGGTTCTCATTGATTAGGGGACCCTTGGATTTATAGACCATCTCAATAAGGTCCCTGTTTAAGAGAGCCAGAAGGTTCAGAAGGGTTCCCTTTCAAGGGGCCCTTTATCCTACCTAGGAACCTCATACACCCTCTGCTACCTTGGGCGGTTTACGGACTAGGGTTTAGGGTTTGGGGTTTAGGGCGTTTGGAACCAGGGTTCTCACTGTTGGGGTATATGGACCATGAACCCTCTCGGGGCCTATTTAGTCTTCAAGGAGGGTCCTACATTCTGCGAGAACTGAAGGCCCGAGCTGTTTATGCAAAAGTAGGCCCTGTTAAGCATCCCGGACATATGGCTAATTTAGGGTTTGGGAAACTTTTCACTTAGGGCCTGCCAACTACGCACACAACCCGTGCTCTTCCATCGCCCTGAACAGTATGCTCGCAGAAAGCTGGACCCAACGCGGGTCGCCAAAAACCCTGAGCCCTAAACACAGGGTGGCGAGGTTGATTCTGTCTCGGCTTTTAAGAGTTCTAGGGGTTTTGGGTTTAGGGTTTAGGGTTTAGGGTTTAGGGTTAAATACCTCGTGAAACCCGAAACCCTGAACCCACACCCTCGAGGCAGGTGCCACTGCCGACCATGGTGTTGGACAGATTGAAGATGGTCTCACCCACCCCAAGCTCCTGACAAAAAGGGCTTGGGGGTTTGGGGGTTTGGGGTTTGGGGTTTAGGTTGTAGGTTTGGGGTTTGGGGTTTGGGGGTTGGGGTTTGGGGTTTGGGGTTTAGGGTTTAGAGTTGGGGGTTTGGAGCTCAAGGGTTTCGGGAAGCTAGGGATGTGGGGGTGGGGGCGGGGGGGGCGGGGTGGGGAGTTGCTGGTTCAGCTCAACTAGCTTAACAAGAATGATATGGCAGGTGCCTGGAGCACCAGCGTAAGACGGCTTCGGGGTAACCCTATAATTCCTAAACCCTAAACCCTAAACCCGAAGACCCTAAACCCTAAACACTATACCCTAAGCCCGCACTGAGGTTTATAGGACGCCTCCAGACTTCCCAGAAACTCCAACGTCCCTCAAAAAAGGCATATATCCTTAAAATGTAAGAGGGCTCGTTATTGGAGTCTCTGGGTTCCAGTCTTTTCAATTTCGGAGACAGGCTCATATTAGGAAAGCCGTTGATGAAACAAGTAAACTCTGAAGCCGACACATTGCCGAAACCCCACATAGGGTTTAGGGAAAAAATCTCTTTGCTTTAATAACCTAGGGTTTACTCCAACTCTATAACCCGATAACTAGACCCCGGAGTATCCTAGGAACAAAAAAGGGTGACCTTAACGGTTTTAAGGGTGTTCAAAAGGGAACCCCAACCCTAAAACAAAGGAAATAACGGCCTACGCCGGGTCCTAGACAACCACATAACCCCAAGCTCCCTACTCCCTATATAAACCCAAGCCCTATAACCCTACAACCCAAACCCTATACCCCCATGACATCCCTGTAACCCAAAAACCCGGTTGTAACCCTATTTAACCCTAAACCTTTGTGGCCCTAACCCCCAGACCTTAAATTCTACATCAACCCTAAACCCTAAACCCTAAACCCCCTAAACCCTAAACCCTACATAAACCCTAAACCCCATCACCCCATCACCCCATCACCCTTCAACCCGAATCCCAGTGAATCGCCTCGGAACTCACCTCCTTCTGCGGAAGCCTCTCCTGGTGCACATGCGCCCCGATGCAAAAACGACAGAATGAGGGCTCAATGCGGCTTCCCTAAACCC